GATGCCTGATAATCCCTAGAGACTCTGGGACTCTAAGGATTTCAGATTCCTCAGAGACCTCTACTGTCCTTCACACCCTGGGACTGTTAACTGACATGGCAGAGCCGCATCCTTCAATGACATCACATCCTGGGACCCTGACAGGGTTCGTCCATTTGTTCCAATTGCTCTGAGAGGGAGCCCTGCAACTGCAGTGATACTGTGATCACAGCCTGATGGCAACCTACATTATCCCTCATTGTTACTATTATTACTTATGTTATGTTTTTCAATTGTTTATTTTTATTTTTTTCTCAAACTACACCATGTGGAGTGCCCTTAACCCCTTAATGACTAAACTTCTGGAATAAAAGGGAATCATGACATGTCACACGTCATGTGCCTTTAAGGGATTAAGGGCTCACCCTTTTGTACGGCCTAGCTGTACCTGCTGGCAAATGGGGTCTAATCCCCTCTACTATATTTACCTCCCCACCCACGACACCTTCACTTTGAATTAGCGACCCTATTTTAGCACTGTAGGTGATAGCCTTTGGCTATCCTGTTTTGGTATACTTACCTTTAAGTTCATATATACATTGCAAAGGCAGCTGGAATTCTCTACTCCAGCGTAACTACTTACATACTTAGATAGTTACATAACTGAAAAGAGACTTGCATCCATAAAGTTCAGCCTTCCTCACATTTGTTTTTGCTATTGATCCAAAAGAAGGCAAAAATAACAAGTTTGAAGCACTTCCAATTTTGCAAGAAACTAGGGGAAAAATTCCTTCTTGATCCCAGAATGGCAGTCAGATTAATCCTTGGATCAAGAAGCTATTACCGTACATTGAAAAATTATATCCTTGAATATTCAGTTTTTTGCAAGTATGCATCTAGTTGCTACTTGAACATCTGTACGGACTCTGATAAAACCACTTCTTCAAGAAGAGAATTCCACATCCTCAATTAAATCTTCTTTCCACTAGTCTAAACACATGACCTTGAGTCCTATGTAAAGTCCGGTTTGTGAATAGAATTCCACATAATGGTTTGTATTGGCCCCGAATATATTTGTATAATGTTATCATATTCCCTCTGAGGCAACATTTTTCTAAACTAAAGAGGTTTAAATTTGTTAACCTTTCTTCATATCTGAAATGTTCCATTCCTATTATAAATTTTGTAGCCCGCCTCTGCACTTTTTCTAGTGCCATAGTATCCTTCTTTAGTACAAGTGCCCAACATTGCACAACATATTCAAGATGTGGTCTTACTAGTGATTTATAAAGAAACTAAATTATATTCTCATCCCGAGAATGAATGCCCTTTTTCATGCATGACTATACCTTACTGGCCTTAGCCACTGCTGATTGACATTGCACATTGTTGCATAGTTTGTTGTCTATAACAATTCCCAAGTCCTTTTCGTGTATTGTTATCCTTAATTCGCTTCCATTAAGGGTATACGTTGCTTGTGCATTGTTTATGCTGAAGTGCATAACTTTTTAAATTTTTTAACATTAAATGTAATCTGCTATTTGAGTGCCCAGTCCCCCCAGTCTATCTACATCCCTCTGCAGCAAAGTAATATCTTGCTCACATTCTATTATTTTATAGAGTTTTGTGTCATCTGCAAACACTGAATGCTTTTCAATGCTTTTTTTCATGAATTTATGAACATGTTAAAAAGAAGGGGTCCCAGAACAGAACCATGAGGGACACCACTTGCCACATCTGTCCAGCTTGAAAATTTGCCATTAATGACAACTCTTTGTATTCTATTTTTAAGCAAATGTTCTTCCCAAGAACAAGAATTTTCATCTAGACCGATTTGTTTGAGTTTGAACACTAACCTATTGTGTGGAACTGTATCAAATGCCTTAGCAAAATCCAAATAGATTACATCAACTGCAACACACTGATCTATACATCTACTTCCTTCTTCCTGGAATGCAATCAAGTTAGTTTGACATGCTGATTTTTGCTGATAATCAGAGGTTCACTTATTTCTACACTTAGTTCCTTAAGTACTTGTGGATGAATACCGTCAGGCCCTGGAGCTTTTAGTTGCTGCAGCACCTTGTCTTGAGTTAGCCAATTAAATTTTTTCTTCAAGTTTTTAGCAGCAATCAGTTTCAGAGGTGTTTGTGAGGTTCACCATTCAAGCTCCCGTTTTACTTTTACTCCTCTAACAGTAACAGATTTTCTGTTTTGCAATTTGCACATCTATTGCCATGGGTTCTTGCTTAATATATGCAAAGAAGAAATAGTTATTTAAATTTTTTGCCTTTTCCTGGTCTTCATTAACTATCACCCGTATCCCAGCTTTTACTGGACCTACACTTGCATTGTTTTTTTTAGAATTGATGTACTTTGGGCATTGGGGTTGGTTTTGCTCTCTTTGGTACACATCAGCCAAAATACATATAGTAAAAACCAAAGAAAAAAAGTCACCAGTGCTCTTTCCACATCCCTCTGAATTTTTAAACAAAGGTTTTTAGTTACCTCCAATGGCCACGAGAGGGTATGCTATGCCCACCTGCCTCGTCAAGGCAGACCTCTTAGGTAGGTCCTAACTCTAACCATTCACATTGCTTCCTTGAGCTTCTGGCAAATATATCTCTAATGAGACAATAAGGGGTATTTTTTATATACATCCCTACATGCTTATTAACCCTGGCCCCACCCCTGAATGGGGGAGACCTATTGTCCTCCCACAAGGCCCTATCCCAGAGCAGCGGTTGGGGGGCCCTAAATAAAAATGCCCACCCCCCTAGGTGACTAGGGGTCCCAATCCCCTAATCACCCCCTCCCCAAAACATTATTCAAATCCCTACCTACCCCCTCACCCTAAAAATTGTGAGGGGGGGAGGGACAATAATTAATTACCTGTAAAAAAAAACAAAAAACTACCGTTTGATGTCTTATTTTTTCTAAAATCTTCTTTTTTCAGCACCAGAAAAGGCCAAATAAAAAACCATAATATCCCTCTCACTCAAAAAAAAAAACAGAGTGCAAAAAAAATAATCCATCTTCACCCATGGAGGGTTCCGCGCAGACTGAGCTCTGCAGGGTGGGGGAAGGCTTATAAAGCCTTGCCCTGCCCTGCAATTAGGCTCAGAGCACTCTGGTTGGTTGGTTTAAGCCATCCAATCAGAGTGCTCTGACAGGTAAATGAAGAGACTGACAGGTAAATCTCTACATTTACCTGTCACAGCACTCTAATTGGTTAGCTTTAAATCCAGCCAATCAGAGTGCTCTGTGTCATTTTACACAGCGTGAGAAAGTTCTTTGGAATTTTCCCACGCTGTGTAATTTTACTCATAACTCTCTTGTTACTTTCACAGAGCCCTCCACGGGTGAAGATGTATTATTTTATTGCGCTCTGTTTTTTTTTTTTTCCTCAAAGTGCGTCGGTTATTATGAAATTTTATTTGGCATTTTTGTGGGGCTGAAAAAAGATGTTTGAAAAAAGAAGACATCAAATGGTAAGTTGTTTTTTTTCAGGTACCTAGTTAATGGTCCCACCTCACTATTTTTAGGGTAAAGGGGGTTGATTTTTTTTGGGAGGGGGTGACTAGGGGTTTGGGGACCCCTAGTCATGTGGGGGGGTTATATTTTAATTAGGGCCCCCACCCGCTGCTTAGGGGTGTGGGCCTGGGGGGGAGGACAATAGTTCCCCCCCTTATTGGTATTTAGGGTCCCCACCCATCGCTCAGGGGTGGCGGCCAGGGGGAGGACAATAGGTCTCCCCCCTTATTGGTATTTAGGGCCCCCACCCGCCATTCAGGGGTGGGGGCTGGAGGGGACTATAGGTTATTCTAACTTAGGGCCCCCACCCACCGCTCACGTGTGTTGGCCGTGGGGAAGGACAATAGGTCCCCCCGTTATTCTAATTTAGGGCCCCCACCCACCACTCGTGGGTGGGGGCTGGGAGGAAGAAAATAGGTCCCCCTCCTTGAAGTAATTTAGGGCCCCCACCGCTCAGAGGGGATGGGGGGAGGACAATAGGTCCCCCCCTGTTTTTCTGATTTAGGGCCACTCACGGGTGGGGCCTTGGGAGGGGGGCCCTGTTTTTTTTTGTTTTGTTTTTTAACTGTGAGCAGCCACATGTTTACTAGACATGCCCCTACTTGTGGTATAGCGAGCAGTGGCGTCTCTAGGATTCATTTTTAAGGGGGGCTCATGGAGGGCCAGGAACAAAAGTAGGGTGGCACATTTAACCACGCCCTCACTGCAGTTTGACCCCGCCCCTGTCACATGTTAAGCCCCGCCCCCGACACAATGTGTTTTGTTTTTTTAATAATCCCTGGTGGAGGATTCATTATTTTCCTGTCCAGGGATTATTAAAAAAACAAACACATTACCCTTGATACAGTGCCATAGTTGCCAACATTTGAAAAAG